TTCCCTCTGAAATTGATTGAGTGGATGAGAGTGACAATTATGTGGTGAAATGGTGATGAGTGTGCACAACATGAAAATATACTGGCAATTTGTGTGTGTATGTGTGCATGTGACTTGCTCCGTGACACATCCTTCATGCTCACTGACTACATTCACACCACAACAAACAAAGTAAAATTAAATCTCATAAGATAGACAAACTGAAGCGAGCAATTTGAAATTCCTTATTGCACACCCGATGTCGTTTCCGAGTGGTAGCATCTACGTGGAGTGAAATAACACAACACTATGATGTTCACAGCGTATCGCGATATAGAAGAAAAGCGGACTCAGTGTATCTCACATACTGATTCGAGACTAATGTACCTACTTGTATTTCTGCCTCGATGTGATCCCATGAGAGCCATATTGATAAATGAAAACTCATCACCACCAACCAAACTTCGCGAGTAACTTTCATCCTCACTTGTCAATTTTCGCATAAATGTAGATTAGACCACCACATAACACCTGCATAACACGCATCGGAATAGCAAAAACTCACCTGACACCTCTCAAACTACTGACTTACTTAACACACTTGTGATGATGCATGGTGACACCTCACATGGAAGGTGAAAACTGAAGTCAGATTTCATGTATGTGACAATCGTGACTATTTACAATGACAACGAAAATATAACAGTTCTAATCATTGTCTACTGAGCAGTAAGTACCCTACAAAACGAAACGAAATGATAGTTTGCATCACGAATGTCTAAGTCCCTTCCATGAACAGCAAACATCTTTGACGATCAATGAAATGTGAGATATCGCCAGTGGCTTACCACCAGAGAAGTATGTAAGCATGGTAGAAAAATCAATCGATATTGTTCTGTTTACGTCATTTAACAGGTTATGGATTGCTCTCAGCCTTACCTAACAAAAAGACCGGGCACATATTGCTATAGTACACCGAATCGAAAAATGCACTCCACTACTCACTTACCCTGGACCATAATTGCATACAATACTCAGACCATAGGGGAAGTTTGGACATTTGGTGACACCACATCCAACATCGGTGGTCGACTCCCAGACGACCTGGAACGTATGAAGAGCATAAGTAATGCATATCATTAATTGAATAGATGTAAAACGTCTAACAGTGACAGCATTCATTCAAATCGTTCCATGTCAACATATATGTTTGATGTAGTTATCTGGTTGCCGCAGTAATCATACGTGAGACAGTCTCGATTCCATCGACTGTCATCAGTCACATCAATGATCACATGTCGGGAAAAATGTAGAGTCCCGAAACCATATTGTCATAAAGGTAATTGAATTAAAGCTAACGAAATTTCACAGTTACAAACATAATGCAAATATATTGTGGAATTCATCAACGAAATGAACAGTTCAATTCACTGAGCTTCTATCGAATCACTCAGTCGATATTACGTTGAATGTGGCCGTTTCCACTGTACTCTCATAGACAAGCAATAACATTAAAAACTACCTGTTCACTGGTCTCCATGATGGAAACAGCCACAATGAATCTGTTGGCAGTTTAACACTCAGGTCTTTTCTCAATCATAACTGTGAAGATATCTAAATTAAATAAACATGTTGCGGCACATTATCTACTCCGGTCCGTCTAACGACAGATCCATCACGATCATGCATTCCATGCAAGAGATATAAGAGAGGAATATTGATCAATCATAAGCATCTGTCCACTACTCACCTGAGTGTAATGACCACATTGACCCACACGACATGTTTGGCTGGCGAAGTCGTAGTTCTTGTATTCATCCAACCACATCTGGAAACCACTTGACAGTGAAGAAGTGAAAAGAGTGACAGAGAATTTCTGTAAGTCTGGTGAACAAATCAATGAATGAGGAACATCACAATTGTGAGAAATCCTCAAAACTCACTTCTTGTTAGAGTTGGCAATGAAGATGCCGGTTTAGAAGTCAGTGGAAGGTTTGCTATTAACTTATTCCTCACACAGAAAACAATAACAAAACAGGAAAAGTAGTGCTGTTCGTTTGAGTCTAACTTTCAGTTCAGTCCACTCAGAGTTCCTATTAAACATATTTGCGAACATTCGACACAGTTCACTTCTTATCGCACCACTTATCAACATAGGGAGGGCATTCACTATTGAACTTGCATGAGATGTGACTGGCGAATTTCGATAGAATGCGCATGAACTCCTAAGCATAGGAAGACAAACAGAATCGCTGTAATTTATCTCCATGATTTCACGAAGAGACACATTGATGAGTAAAGAGGTTGCACTGTAAGACACCATGAATGTTGAATTTCTCGCCTTCTCAAAGAGAAAGGCAAGACGCATCTGTTTCCGCATATTCCGCTGACTGTTGGAAAGAGATGTCCGAAATTTCTGCGAACTGACACAACAGTGGGTTGAGAGGTCAGTCCAGTATACTTTAGTCATCTGTATGTGCAGTAATTGTTTCTCATCATCCAAAGAACACTAACCGCGTAGTCTACATCTACCTGTGTGGCTCAAAACAACAATCGAAGTCTCTATGTCATGTCTATCGAATGTGCGGTATATTAGACTTTCAAGTGGCCTCCCATATCACTCATACCGAAACATTATCATCTAGTTCCGTTCCAAAGTTCTACAAAATCCTCCAGTCTTACTCAGTGTTGCATGTGTTTAAGTAGTCAGAACTGAGAGAAACTTACGTTTCGACATCTGCGGATCCCGCCCAATTCTGTCCAACATAATCGAATCCCGGTATTTTCCGCTCGTCAGCTGTGTCGTGTCCAACACGGCACTGATCAGATAAGATTTGTGCTTTCCTTTCCAACTCCATGTTCCATCTCTGCGCATGTGTGCAAATGCAACACAAAATACATTGGTTGAAATTAGAAACAATGCATGGATAAATAGAGACATTGAAAGACAACACAAACCGTCAACTCATTCCAGCGATATACAGTGAATGAATAACTGGACAGACAGTGTTTGAGTAGAATGCTCATGGTTGACAAAACAAATCTCAATAGTAACAGACTTCAAGGAAATCTGCACATAATCTCTTCGAACAATCAGCAACACCATGAGCGACACAAAATGCATTAGGGAACACTATGCAGATATGATACAAGTTGGTCGAATTCAACTCCGCCATTCTTGTGCTACGAAGGATCAGTAGACGACACTGACATACTCACACCATCTCGTGTTAATCGAATCACCGAATGTGGCATGAAGCACATTCCAATCGAAAATCTGTTCCCAACAATTATCCGTCTGACAATATCCAACAGCTACCATCAGTCCATCCATCAGAAAATTACCTACAAACGAAAGCATATTCTAGAAATACAACGAACACGCAACACACTCGATCACAACATCATGAAAGTGTTAACACAACAAAATAAAAGACCAAAAATTCGCCTTGTGTGACTCATCTGACCATTGCAAAACAAACAGAAGAAATAAGCACGGATTCATACTAGCCAGTCGCCCCATTTATCATTTCAAGTGACCCATTTCAAACTAAATGTTCCTCTCACCAGTGGTTTGATAGACACGGCCATCGGTTGTCCACTCAACTGTCCATTCTGAACTGCTTGTCTGGCGTTGTTGTGCAGAGCCAGCAATTTGTTTCTCATGTTGTCGTCCATCTGTCCACGGACATGTGTTGAAATCAGTGATACGCATAAGGAGGAGAGAACCAGCAGAAGTAAATCTGATTCCCAGCGCATTTCCACACCAGCAAGATTCAGTCTCAGTGAAATCTGATCGCCTTCGTGTCACAGTTGTTATTTCTGCAGACACCAAGCATATTTATATGCAGACGTGGATAAGAGAGCTATGGAGTGAAATCTGGATTAGTGAGTCGCTCACTCGAATGTTAATTATGCAATGAGGATTAGGGTGTGGCGAATTATTAGTCGACACTGGTCGACCAGTGTCATTCGGTGGTGGATTTGTGGATGGGCGTGTTCAGATTATTGTCTCAATGAGTGGTCTCGATTGCTTTCGACTCACTCCTCCTACACCGTGTTGGTAGAGGTGAGCGAACACTTGACCATGGGATTAGTGACACTTGAATGAGATTATATTCTGTAGGGTGTGAGTCATTATCAATGAATGAAGGATAGATTGACAGAGCGTATGTGGATAATCCGTCTCATGAATTTCTCGGGTGATTTCTGTGAGAAGGAGTGAGTGATTGAGCGAGTGAGTGGGGAAGCTCAAATGTCCCGTTTTGTTGACAGGCTTCTGACTCAATGTCTTTTGATTTCCCAGTGACCAATGAGATATAATTCCATTGCTGGTCAAGCACACATTTCAGGTATTCACTTACCTATCTATTACTGATATCCGAATTTGATGAATACTACCTAGAAAAGAAAGAAGAATTCTACAGTTAACAATGGACAGTACTACCTCGGCCAATCGGAACTGGGCTAAAATGGAAAGGCAAGACAAAAAAGACCAACACACAACAACCATACCACAACACACAGGCACGCTCTCCCCAGCGTGTGAATTCTTAGCTGTCTTTCGACAGTTCCACCATTGATCTGGTTCACGAAGTGTTGGTTGCTTCATATCACTCTGGCACAATTCCCTCCCCGGCGTATCACATCGCAAACACTGACTCTAACACTACTCGATTCGTTCACAAATAAAAAGACTAGAAACGACTTCAGAAGTACTTACAATGACATTACAAGATGATTCACACAATGTGACAACTATCAAATCAACTGACAATCAGATGAATCGGAATCTACTCAATTACCAATTCAGTATATACAACATGAACATATGTACAAAATAACACACAAAGTACGATGGACTGCGCTTCGACGTACTACCCTTGAAGAATTGTAGGACTTACAGCAGTACGCCTACAACGCTCCTCAGGTTGACGCCCCCTTATTTGGAAAATCGTCGTTGAGTTGATTTGCTGACCTCCTTCCATCACCTATATCCTCAACTCTGAATGGTAACACGCCTATGACATTTTATCGTGGAATGTAGATGACCAACAAACATACAATGTATCTGAACAACCAAGAGAAGGCACAGAGTAATTTGCACCAAAGATAATAACATTCAAATAGTAGTTTGAAACCTGAAATACCTTTATTTATGCAATTCAGTCTAACAATTACCCTCTTGTACACAGTTTTCTTGTCGTCACTAAACTGGCCATTGACTTTCGTCCCTTCAAACAGACCGACACTAGCATAATCACTGCATAAGACACGTGAGTTCATGGACGACTCTTTTACTGCATATGACAACACCAACGACGACTGACTGACACCAGTTGATGAACTTAGCGGTGTATCGGAAGCTGTCGCTGTTCGACCTTTAGAAAGTTGTCTAACTGCAAGATAACCACCACTGCCATCTTTTATTATTAGCTCCAGTTCAGTTTTAAGATCTGTCGATAGTTGGGCTACACTCGGATCATTTACACTGACGGTCTCGATAGTATTCATACCTTCTGCAACCGCATCTGCCTTTAATTCTACTTCACGTTCAAGTTGTACAGAACCTTTATTCAACTCAGTAGTAGTTGGCCTTCCGCTCAGCTCATCATGATCAGCCACAGACAAATGTGCACTATCATGACCATTGTCACAAATATCCAATTTACCGCCGTTTGTATGGTCGACTTCATCATTTTCAACCTCTTTAATAACAGCCGTAGATGACTTAGGTTCATCCTCATGAATCCTTAAAGATTTTATACCTTTACTCTGGCTAGTAATACCTTGTAAACTTGTGGAGTCAGAACTGGACTCTGAAACTGTAACCCTCTCCTTCTGCACAAACTGTGGTGACGTTTGTGACACTCTATTCAACAATGAATTAACAGTTACAACTACAGGCTTCTTCAACGCACCATTATCGTTACACGATGCGAAGTCAGAACTTGATGACGCTGACTTCATATTTAGCTTCGAAAGGAGAGAACGCATGGAGGATAGAAAGGGTCTTAGAGAGACGAATTGGAACAGAGAATCCTTTCCTGAATTCTGAGATTTCAATGAAATAGTGATGGATGGCAGCGCATACAAGCACAAGGATATCCACAAGGATACATGGTTGTCTCCAGACTGCTGAACCGAAGACCAAATTGACTTTATCGAATTAGTGCTGAAGCAAGTAAGGACGCAACTTACTGGACACAAAATATTGGGAAGAGGAGCAGGTGTCGGCTCAGACCACTATCTCGTGCAAGGAACACTCTAAATAAAATCCAAGCTTTCAAGGAAACAGGAGCTGAAGATAGACCAGAGGCCAAGTTCAGTACCCGAAAACTGAAGGATCAAGCCACAAAACACAACCATCACTGCAATCAGAAGGAAAACGACGGAGACACAAATCAAAACTAGCGAAGAGATCAGCTTTGGAAAGCACTGCAACAACCTGAAAGCAGTGTTGAGTCAAACCTGCAGGGAAATTCTAGGCAGAAAGAAGAGACAGAACAAACAGTTGCACACTACATACACATGGAGGCTGACAGAAGGGAGAAGGGTGGCGAAACCAGAGAGCATACAGTGCTTCGATGAGCAACAAAGACAAGAGCTGAATGCAAGCTGCAATAAACTGGAGAACAGAGTAAAGAAAAGTGGCACGGAAGATAAATGACAATATTTTGATGCTATGGCAGGTAAAGCAGATCAAGCTGCAGGCAAAGGATTCATCACAACACCCTTTCAAACAACTAGGTTGCCATCTAGGAAGAGATATACACAAATTAAGCCAGTTAGGGATGACAATGGGAAGTCAATCACCAAAGCGGTGGAGCAAAGGAAACACAGGATTGAAAACTTCAAAGACTCCTGAATCGACCATCACCTAAAAAGTGCTCAATAACAGTAACAGAGGAAGCAGGACTAACAGTGAATACCAAATTTCAGACGAAAGCGGAGATCCTGAAGGCCATAAAATGCTAACATCTAAAAAAGCAGCAAGACTATACGGAGTCCCTGCAGAAGCATTGAAAATGGACCCACAGACATCGGTGGACTCGACGCCACCACTACTAAAGAAGATGTGGAAAAAGGGCAAATATCTGAGGATTGGAAGAAAGGCCACCTATTCAAACTGCCAGGGAAACGAGACTTAAGTCAATGCAAGAACTGTGACGCATCATGTTCCTGTCTATCCTAAACAAAATCCTAAGCTGCATCATCCTGGAGAGAATGAAATATGCCCCGGAGGTCGATGCAAGAACTAACCATTTTCGGTTATCTTCTGCCTAACATTTCAGTCCCAACTTCAGAGTTGAGATCATCTATAGCATAACCTGGACAGATTTACAGTGTTGTTGCTTTCTATGAGTCTGGATAGGAAATCATTCTCAGGCAAGATTCTATGGAGTTAGTGCAGTTCTTCGTCAACGGATTCCTCGTGACGTATTTTTCAGATCTTTAAGAAATGTATATCTATGAAATTCCTCTTTCTGCTCAGAGGGGAACAATTTTGAAATTGATAACCTGTCTGCTCCACGGAGACTTTTCATCAATAAATCTTCACAGTCAGCGATCATCGTCACTTAGAAATTCAACACTTAGGAAATGGAACACTGAGATAAATTCTACTTGCAGAATGAAGTTGACGTATGTGTAGGCATGATCGAAGGCTTGAAGCAAGTTCTCGAGATTCGAATTATCATCAGAAATAGTGAGTGTATCGTCAATGTGTGAAATGAAGCCCACCGGCTGTTTTTATCAAGAAGTTGTTTCCCAGACATGTCAAGATGGGCGTCAGAGGGGAGCCAAATGCTAGACTATTTGTTTTCCGTGTAGGCTTCATTGTCCAATCTGAAGCACTCACTGTATGTAAATCGTAGTAAGACCCATCTTAGGTAGTGAACCAGTATGTGAATATACATATTATGGTATTGAATGAAAGCGTGTGACAAACCGATGTTTCCTGTCAGTCAAACATTCGTGATTGGAGAAACAGTCTCTAAAGAGATCATTCTTGTATCAAACAGATTCACATTCTTGAACATAGTCGAAGCAAATGTGTGTGATCCGCAGATTGTGTCTCGTTGGCTTGACCTTCACTAAGTCATGAAGTGGCTGGTAGAGACATTTGGAGTATTGTCCATCTTTGACTGTAGAACTCTTCTTTCTTTTCTAGGTAGTATTCATCAAATATGGATATCAGTAATAGATAGGTAAGTGAATACCTGAAATGTGTGCTTGACCAGCAACGGAATTACATCTCAGTGGTCACTGAGAAATCAAAAGACATTGTGTTAGAAGCCCGTCAACAACAATGGTTATTACTGAGGCCTAAAACCCTTTAAGTTTTCAACAATCTCCCAGCTATTGCCAATACTAGACGACATCACGCTATGCCACAAATAATTCTACACAATGCTGAAGCGAATGTGTTAAACAATCAGTGATTGGTGCCGTACTAGATCTTGTAAAGTGGTCGACTCTTCAAGTTGGATATCGTGGCTTCTGCTCTGGCATCGCGGAATGTCATACATACGCATGTTATAGCGTATGTGTGACATTTTTCACTTGACATAAACAAGAAGCACGTCACTCACAAACACGGGACGTTTCCGTTTCCCTACTCACTCGCTCAATCACTCACTCACTCACTCCTTCTCACAAAACACACCCAACGAAAAATCAAACGGATCATCCATAAACGCGCTGTCATTCTATCTTCCATTCATTAATAATGACTCACGCCCTACAGAATATAATCTCATTCAAGTGTCACTAATCCCATGGTCAAGTGTTCGCTCACCTCTACCGACACGGTGTAGGAGGAGTGCGTCGAAAGCAATCGAGACCACTCATTGAGACAATAATCTGTACACGCCCATCCACAAATCCACCACCGAATGACACTGGTCGACCAGTGTCGACTAATAATTCGCCACACCCTAATCCTCATTGCATAATTAACATTCGAGTGAGCGACTCACTAATCCAGATTTCACTCCATAGCTCTCTTATCCACGACTGCATATAAATATGCTTGGTGTCTGCAGAAATAACAACTGTAACACGAAGGCGATCAGATTTCACTGAGACTGAATCTTGCTGGTGTAGAAATGCGCTGGGAATCCAATTCATTTCTGATTGTGCTCTCCTCCTTATGCGTATCACTGATTTCAACACATGTCCGTGGACAGATGGACGACAACATGAGAAACAAATTGCTGGCTCTGCACAACAACGCCAGACAAGCAGTTCAGAATGGACAGTTGAGTGGACAACCGATGGCCGTGTCTATCAAACCACTGGTGAGAGGAACATTTAGTTTGAAATGGGTCACTTGAAATGATAAATGGGGCGACTGGCTAGTATGAATCCGTGCTTATTTCTTCTGTTTGTTTTGCAATGGTCAGATGAGTCACACAGGGCGAATTTTTGGTCTTTTATTTTGTTGTGTTAACACCTTCATGATGTTGTGATCGAGTGTGTTGCGTGTTCTTTGTATTTCTAGAATAAGCTTTCGTTTGTAGGTAATTTTCTGATGGATGGACTGATGGTAGTTGTTGGATATTGTCAGACGGATAATTGTTGGGAACAGATTTTCGATTGGAATGTGCTTCATGCCACATTCGGTGATTCGATTAACACGAGATGGTGTGAGTATGTCAGTGTCGTCTACTCATCCTCCGTAGCACAAGAATGGCGGAGTTGAATTCGACCAACTTGTATCATATCTGCATAGTGTTCCCTAATGCATTTTGTGTCGCTCATGGTGTTGCTGATTGTTCGAAGAGATTATGTGCAGATTTCCTTGAAGTCTGTTACTATTGAGATTTGTTTTGTCAACCATGAGCATTCTACTCAAACACTGTCTGTCCAGTTATTCATTCACTGTATATCGCTGGAATGAGTTGACGGTTTGTGTTGTCTTTCAATGTCTCTATTTATCCATGCATTGTTTCTAATTTCAACCAATGTATTTTGTGTTGCATTTGCACACATGCGCAGAGATGGAACATGGAGTTGGAAAGGAAAGCACAAATCTTATCTGACCAGTGTCGTGTTGGACACGACACAGCTGACGAGCGGAAAATACCGGGATTCGATTATGTTGGACAGAATTGGGCGGGATCCGCAGATGTCGAAACGTAAGTTTCTCTCAGTTCTAACTACTTAAACACATGCAACACTGAGTAAGACTGGAGGATTTTGTAGAACTTTGGAACGGAACTAGATGATAATGTTTCGGTATGAGTGATATGGGAGTCCACTTGAAAGTCTAATATACCGCACATTCGATAGACATGACATAGAGACTTCGATTGTTGTTTTGAGCCACACTGGTAGATGTAGACTACGTGGTTAGTGTTCTTTGGATGATGAGAACCAATCACTGCACTAACAGACGACTAAAATATACAGAATTTCCCTCTAAGCCCACTGTTGTTTCAGATCGCAGAAATTTCGGACATCTCTTTCCAACAGTCAGCGGAATATGCGGAAACAGATGCGTCTTGCCTCTCTCTTTGAGAAGGCGAGAAGTTCAACATTCTTGGTGTCGTACAGTGCAACCTCTTTACTCATCAACGTGTCTCTTCGTGAAATCATGGAGATAAATTACAGCAATTCTGGTTGTCTTACGCGTTCATGCGCATTCTATCGAAATTCGCCAGTCACATCTCATGCAAGTTCAATAGTGAATGCCCTCCCTATGTTGATAAGTGGTGCGATAAGAAGTGAACTGTGTCGAATGTTCGCAAATATGTTTAATAGGAAGCTGAAGAATACTAAACTGAAAGTTAGACTCGAACGAACAGCACTAATTTTCCTGTTGTGTTATTGTTTTCTGTGTGAGGAATAAGTTAATAGCAAACCTTCCACTGACTTCTAAACCGGCATCTTCATTGCCAACTCTAACAAGGAGTGAGTTTTGAGGATTTCTCACAGATGTGATGTTCCTCATTCATTGATTTGTT